GTTCAAAGCCATGACGGACGACGGCGTGGTGTGGTACACGTGGCACGGCTGGGCCTACTCCATCAAGTCTGTCGTCATGATGATTCGAGCGTCCGACCTCGAAGCGCCGCCGCCTCCAGCGGACGTTTACCTGCCAGGCGGTCCTGACGTGGTCCCGGCGGCGGGCCGAGGCGCTCCGTGAAGCTGAGGTCACTTTGATGCTGTGAAATAAAGTCAGAGCGCCTTCGTATGATGTCATGTCGCATTTATTCTGAACAAAACAAAGAACATTGTACACTGAGGCATTCTGGGTAAATCTGAGGTTTTTCAGGACAAACAGAAACAGTAAAACAGGCCAGTGTGTCAGTGAGGGAGGGGCACGGCAGACTCCGATCTGATTGGGTGATTTCAGCGAGGGGAGGTCTGCATATTTGGCTCTGAGGCCGGCCCCCTACGTCCACGGGTGGTTACATTCCACAAAGCAGGTTAAGGTCGAGGTCGTGACAGGACAGGTCTGTGGGAGGCGTGTTCCCGTCCGCTGATTGAGCGTCGCTCTTTGGAGGGAAACGTTTGTGATCCGTGGAACCCAAACAGCCCGGAGCGTTCCCACAAACATCCACAGATCCAAGGTTTCCCCCCGAGGAGGCGAGCGGAGCGGCCAGGGAGGAGGAGCTATGTACAGACCCTGAGGCGTGCCTGCTGGTTTCTTCAGAGGAGGAAGAACGCTCCCAGGAGGACCGGGCGTCCCGAGGCGGCGAGCTTAGCCCGGGGCCGCCATCTGGTTTAAGTGCGTCGGTGCCGCCGCAGCGTCTTTTCAAAATAAGATATTTATTTAAAAATGTACAAGTCTGCGATGGCTTCGTGTCCAGCGGCGCCGCTCCGACTCGGGAGGGGGGAGCGCAGGGGGGGCGGTGGGTTATCTGGGTGATAACGGCGCAGCTGTGGCGAAGGAGGCGGAGTTCCGCGGCGAGCCGAAGGGGGAGGTGGGCGAGAGGCGGCGGGGGCTCGCCACCAGGTCGCCGTTGTGCAGCTTCCACAGCAGCTCCTCGTTCTCCATGGACAGCCGCTTGTTGACCTTTGACTCCTTCTGCAGCGTCTGCTGCAGTATGGCCTGCTCGCTGGACAGCTGCCTGCAGGGGGAGACAGAGAGCCGTGAGGCGGGGGAGGGTTTATTAAAGGGGAGCCGGAGCTTATATTATATGTTTACATGCTGTGGAGCCATTTTTGGGAGCATTTCAAGTTGCTATACATCAATACAACCATTATAGCCCAAATTTTAATAATATGTCTGCATTAAGTGCATAGTAATTACATAAATTGCAAAAAAGTGCAATAAACTACAAAAAAATTGAAAATCGTTTTTGTTTTT